CCTCCCCCTCTCTTCCTTCTTCCTCCCTCTCTCCCACTGGTAGCAGAACTCAGTTTGAGGAACTGGTAAAGGAGAAGCATCCAGGTTGAGGCAGAGGCAGGGTCAGGGTGAGGGCTTTGCCCCTTGCCCCCTCTCACGTGCTCCTCTCTCGGGAGGTCCCCATTACTTCCCAGGCTCTGGAGCACAGCCTGTTCTCTCTCTTCCACTCATCATCCAGTTTGGGTGGCCCTGAGAATTGAACCCAGGCCCCTTGTGCAGGCAAGGAGATTGATGTCTCATGAGTCGTTAGCTGCCAGTTTGGAACCAGGCACTTCAGGGATAAACATAGCTAGGATCCTGGACCTTACAGAATGGCGTGACATCCGGGTGGCACAGGGCACTGTTAAATTTTTTCATGTATTTTGTGCAGGGACTCACTACACAGCTCAAACTCATAGTGATCCTCCTGTTTTCTCTCCAGTGCTGGAATCATAGACGTGTGCCACTAGACTGTGGCTGGCTCGGGGTGCTCTAGGGGCAGTGCTGGCTCAACAGGTGGTGCCGGGGATTGAACCCCAGTCCTTGCACTTTCCTAAGCAGGTGCTCAGTCTGCTGAGCTATCTCGCTGGCCCTTAGCACAGTACTAGCACAGTACTGTTACATACACTGTGTTCTTAGCGTTCAACAGTCTTGGGGACAACTAGGGATAACGAGTGCCAGTGTGTGCAGGCTTGAGAGCGAGGGCTCCCCCTCACACATGCATGTGTGTGGGGAGCAGCAGTGGTGGTCATAGAGTGACAGGAGGAGGACAGCACGTTGGGAGGAAAAGGTGGCGTGGGCCCGTGCCGCTGGATGGTAGATAGTGCAGCGGAACCTTCCAGAGGCCTTTGACACCAGCCTGGGAGGCTGGATCTGATCCAGTAGCCTCTTTCAGGATTTGAGGACATTATGGTGGACCCAGTCTGAAAGTTGGGTATGAGTGGGTAAGAGACAGGAGGCTGTAGGTGTGTCAAGTTTTGCAGAGGTGGGCCTGAAAAATGTATAGATGTTGCTTTTTTGGAAAAGGAGAAGTGAGTAGGGCTTGATGCTGGGAGGCAGGTGGGGCATGCAGAGTGTGCTGAAGCTCTGAGCTAGGCGTCCAGGCTGTTCAGAGGGTGGAACTGCTTGTGAGTGTCTCGGTTACTTTTTATTTGTTGCTGGGACAAAATGCCTGACACCCAAAATTAAGAAAGGAAAAGGTTTAACTCACAGTTAGCGGAGGTTTTAGTCTGTGCTGCAGTCTGGGGGGGCCCTCCCCACCCTAGGGAGGGAGGGGCTTCCACACACTAGGGGTTAGAGTTGTTGAGCCAATCCCGCCAAGCTTTTGAGCCCTCAAGTTGACACAATGTGTCAGCCACCACCCAAGAGAAGTTGGGAGATCAGTGAGGACCTCAGGGTCTTTGTAGACATGGGGTGTGCGAGGGAAGGTGCCGCATAGCGAGCAAGGGAGGGGTTGCAGCAGAAAACCACTACTGGGCCCAGCAGGCACAGCTTGCCTGTGAGCACGCGGCAGACAAGCTGAGGCTGTGTGTGGAACTGGCGTGGACTCCCCCAGCGCACAAAACCAGACAGGAAGCTTGGGTCTCCGAGGTGGCCTCGTGCTTGCTGTGGACCAGGCTGAGAGGGGTGGGGAGGGATCTGTGGCAGCCACAGACCTTTCTTCCTGCCACCCTGGGCGCTGACCCTTATTGTTGTTCCCATAGCACTCTGTCCTCTCTCGGAAGTTTGTGGAGGTGATGACCAAGTACAATGAGGCGCAGGTGGACTTCCGTGAACGCAGCAAAGGGCGAATCCAGCGGCAGCTTGAGATCAGTATGTGTTTGTGATGTGGCGTGTTCCACTCCTGTGATTTTTTTTCTGTCATGTCATTGTTCCTCTCAAGTTGGGAGATGCTGGGAGAAGCAGCAGCAACACTGCTTGTGGCCTCTGAGCCCTGTTTGGTCCTGAGCCTAGATGGCTGTAAGAACTGCAGCTCCTGAATGCTGTGTCTGGCTGGACTGTGGGCGGCACGGGGTCTCTCAGGCTTGAGGACCTAGTCTGATGGGAGGTGGCACCTCCTCACAGTGAGGGGAAACGTTGGCTAAGCTCTTGGTCTCCTGCGGTTTCACTACATTGTTGCTGTGTTGGACAGCCAAGCACATTTACAAAATAGAAGCTGTGGAGCTCTTTGCTAGGAGGAATAAGGAAACCAATAAAGCCATGGCCTCCAGGACTTTAATAATACAGCAGGCCCTGCCGGCCAAGGGTACTTCAAGTGGGAGGGACTGTGTGAACAAGGGTGCAGTCAAGAAAGAGCACGTGTGCTTACGAGTGGCAGTTTGTCCTGCTCTGGGAAGAGGGTGTGTTTGGAGCTGCAGGTCAGGTCTGGAGGGCTGAGGAAGATTTGCCACGAGCTACACTTTGTTTTGAGGGCCCCATTCCTGGAGGCTGGTGGAGCGCATGGGGACAGGAAATAACCCAGGCTGGCAGAGTAGCCTGAGCTGGACTCTCACAGGATGTGCTTTAGGAAGGGAGCTCTGACACTGTTAAGAATGGCTGTGAAGGGGCCAGGGAGATGGCTCAGTAGACTAAGTGCTTGCCTGGCAAGCGCAAGGGCCTGAGTTCAATCCCCGGTTACAGAAAAAAAAAATGTGTTAGGGAGAACACAGAAGTGGTTCTGGAAGCTGTGGGGAGTGGATGTGGGTCCTGGCCCTTACCATGAAGCCACCGTAGTCCTGGTTTGGGGGGAGCTTTAACAATGGGGTGCTTTGGCCTTGTGTTTGATGTTCTACTTCTACTATGAAAAAGCTGGAAAGAAGACTACAGATGAGGAGCTGGAAGAGATGCTGGAGAGTGGCAACCCTGCCATCTTCACTTCCGGGGTGAGTGGCGTGGTGCTGTGGCCGGGGCACCCCCGGTCGTGCAGGCACGGGTGAGCAGCAGCCAGAGAGGCGGGGGTGTGCAGAGGCGGCCTTCGTGCAGGTGCCAGCACCTTCTGTGTGTGCCGGTCACAGATCATCGACTCCCAGATTTCCAAGCAAGCCCTCAGTGAGATCGAGGGTCGGCACAAGGACATCGTGCGGCTGGAGAGCAGCATCAAGGAGCTCCACGACATGTTCATGGACATCGCCATGCTGGTGGAGAACCAGGTGAGTGGCAGGAGACAGGGCCCAGTGCTCCCAAGGCCAGGAGGAAGGGACATGGGAGTGAGGACGAGGGTGTGATGGGGCCAGGGAGCGGCATGGGAACGAGGGCATCCAGCGTCCTGCCGGGAATGGGCACGCGGAGCAGAGGAATCCCAGCTTCCTGCAGGGCGTTTTTGGCACCCGCTGACCCTTTGGGCCTCCTCATCCTTGTCACTGCTGCCTGCTACTCCGGCCTGTTGTTTCTCATTTACAGTTTTGATGGGCACACGTGTATAGGATCTTTGGCTCATACAGCTGTGTAGTATCTTGTCCTCTCAGCCTGAGTGGGGATCACTTTTTCCTTGCTTTTTTTTCTTTGTATTTTTGAGGCAGGGTCTCACTTTTCAGCTCAGGCTGGCCTTGAGCTTCCTTTGTAGTCCAGGCTGGTCTTGAACTCACAATGATTCTCCTGCCTCAGCCTTCTGGGTGCTGGGATTATGGGCATGTGCCACCATGCCTGGCTTTTCTTTGCTTATTAGCTTAAAAATTAGAGGTACAGGCTCTTCATGATGTGTTAACAGTCTCCGGATATGAACCATTTCACTGGTAACATTGAAAACCTGTGGTCTTGTCTTAGTTCAAGGTGAAAATGTAGTACAACTTAAAATGAAGGTTTTTATTCTTTCCTACTTCTGTTTTTTTTCAAAACTTTCTGCAAAATTTGGCTTTTTTTTTGGCAAACAAATAAGTGCAGACAAAAAAACACATAGTAAAAGAATATTTACAGATGAGATAGGAATACTTCAGGTGCTTAGCCTAGGTGGGCATTCACTTAGTATCCTCACTCAGGGCCAGACACCCCCACCTCACCTGGGGATAGATGCCCTCACCTCCTCTGGGAACAGACGCCCTCACCTCACCTGGGGACAGATGCCTTCACCTCACCTGGGGACAGATGTCCTCACTCACTCAGGGACAGACATCCTCACCTCACCTGGGAACAGATGCCCTCACCTCACCTGGGGACAGACGCCCTCACCTCACCTGGG